ATAAAAATCAACATTAACGGCTAGTTTTTCAATATTTATTCGATTTTAATCTCTACCGAACACACCCAATAAATAATAATATGTTCAGTGACCTGTTCGGTCACTGAATTTTTTATTATTATTTTTTCAAAAATCAGGTGGTCATGTTTTTTGACACTTGATAAAAATTTGTGACTCGCAAGTCACACAAAGTCACAGTCATAAAAATAAAATTTGTGAGCCTCAATTACAAATTTAGTTGCAAATCACATATTTTTAAAGTACACATTTGGTGCAAATTATTTAGACTTACGAGACATCTTTATAATATTCTGAATATTTCAAATTATGGGTCTTAAAACTTTTTCATGATTTTCACTATAATATTAAATTTTCTAGAATATTAGCTTCATTGAACCTTACTCAAGTTTTTCCAATTAATAATACCTTGACATTATTATTACACTATCATAATATTTTCTTCACTAGTGGGATAATTTTGGTAAATATTATGCTACCCAAATCTCTCAAGTTGTTAGAAATGATTTATTTTGCTACTCTTTCTTTTGAATTGTGTGGAGGTTTCGTTTAAATTAGTTGTTTGGGACCTCAGAATTCTTAAGGCTGAGCTCGATAACATTTAGTAACATTTGTTGACCTTAATATTCTCCTTTCTGATATTAAATTCTTTGTAATTGTCTTTTAATGTTTTGTGAGGTAGACCGCGTAATATCTAATAGAACCAAAGAAAAAGGTATTAAATCTAATTGATTTTTCTTCCTTTTGGCATGGAGACCTGTCGGCACGACTCATTCATTCTTATGCACTAAGAAAGCTCCACCAACTCTACATTCAACCACCAAACATTCTAAGTGATTTACATTGTGTAATTTTGTCCTACGAAATATAATCTTAGTTCAATTTTTATTTTTATTTTATCTCCAAACAAAACATATTCATTTAGTTAAATAGTCACAAATCATGCAAACAATTGCAATGGAAAGAGAGCACGGCATACAATGAATCCAAGGAATTATATCTTCAAAATCAAAGGTGAGTACTATAGGATCGTACTGCTGAGGATACAACTTTTATTCAATCCTTATTTGCTCAGATTTTTCGTAAATTTTGATAAAAAAAAAAAAAGAAGAAGATAATATGTGTGGTTAAAATTAATTATTGATTTTGACTTTGAAGTTTTATCAATTTTTAATCCACACCAAATGGAGGCTCAATTTCCTAGTTTAGGAAGAGTACTTCCTTTTGCACTTGTGCTCTACTTTTGGTCACTGCATATTTGTATACGCGATCCACATCCGCTGTCTTAGTCTAATATCCAAATGGCTACATACAGTTACCAAAATTAGAGGTGTCACCAAGCTTCTTACTCTTCAGTTAGGTTGTCATGTTGGTCCCAGATAAAACGATTTATGTTATGATTCAACCAAGTAAACGGAAAATAGACAAAGTAAATTGCGAGAAAAAGTAAGAACACAAAGATTTTTCAGCCCAAGGCCCCGGAGGTTCGGCGACCACTTCTAATACATAATCCCCCATTGAGCATCCATTAGGATATTGCTCAAATCCACTAAAATAGCTCAAAATCGGGCAAGAAACAAGATTACAGAAGAACATCGAATGTTCAGTCTCAAACACAAAACAAACCTCAACAATTACAACACGATCTCACTAAATGATTGATCTAATCTCTCTCTTTCTCACTAATATGATTTCACACAGAAATATACAGATTACACAACACAAAGAATATCGCAGTCGAGAGAGAAGAAGAGAACTAGGGTTTGCACTAAAGTCGATCCATCATCCCAGAAAGTGAGCTTCCCATTTATATGAGATAATCAACAGGGATGATCCAACAGTTATCCATTTGCTAGATGTCGATCATCCATCAAAACAGCCTTAATTAAGTTAAGGCAACAATTCTGGAACCTTCAAATAAATGGGCCGGGTTTAAGAAGTTAACGGACCATTATTAGCAGACTTGGAACATACCTGATATGATTCAGCTTTAGAACTTGACCATTTTTCAATTTTAGAAAAATGTTCCCAAATCCTTTTATTTGACAGGACTTATTGTTCCCCAACTTTACAAAACCATCACTAAGATTGGAGAAATCAGAAAACCAGCAGATTTTGGAACTCATGTGAAAAGAGCAACCTGAGTCAAGCACCCAGCTTTGATCAGGCTTCTCTACAAAGGAGACATATGCAACCCCAAAATCTGCATCTGCTTCCTTATAGGAAGCAGCAATGGCGAGGTCCCATTATCATGATTGGATCCACTTCCTAAGTCATTAGCTTTCTTAAAGCAATATTTTATTAGGTGTCCAGTTTTGCCGCAATAGTAACATTTCATGTTCTTAGCCTTTCCTTTATACATCTTCTTATCATTCCCTTTATTATTCCCCCATTTCTTCTTAGAGAAATTTTTATCTTCGTTGTAATTGGCTTGAGTAAAATTACTCAAGGCTTTAGTAGAGAATTTAGGATTGGATAAGGTTTTCTCAACATGAAGAACTTCCTGTTGTTCAGATCTAAATACTAAGTCTCTGTTCCTTAAAGAATTATGGATAATGTCAACAGTTAGGTCACTTCTACCATATTCTAAAGCATTTTTGATATCTTTATACTTATCACCAAAGGCATTAAATAGACCAACTACCTTTTGATCATTGGAGATCTTTTCCTCACACCTAATAAGGTCTTGAGTGATCTTATTAAACCTATCCATATTTTCTTCTAAATCTGCACTAGGGTCAAACTTATGGCTGAAGAATTGTTTTCAGAGAAAGCATTTATTAGGTAAAGACTTAGAGACATATTGTTTTTGTAAGACTGCCCATAAACTCAGCAGGAGTTCCGGTCTCTCCTATTTTTTTAATGACAGAATCAGATAGATGAAGAAACAGAATATTCCAGGCTAATTCATCTTGCTC